TATCTTATATACACCATAGAAGGATTATTATATAGCAGTGGTCATTAAACTGAATGCAATTACCTCCAAGGGAGTAATCAAGTCATATCCTGAGGATAGTAGAGCAATTTGTAACTGCCTGTTTGTGAGCCAAGGATCAAATCTGGGACTGCCACTCGTGAAAATAGTATAGACTGTATTTTTTATGGTGGTGATGACATTATTCAGTTTGATGCATCAATTTAGCCAACAGATGCTTTTCCTTTAAATGTGTTTAAAATACATAAAATATATGCTACATATATATTTTTATATAAATTTTCAAATAGATATAAATATTTAAAAAATAGATACAATGCATTTACTTTAATTTTCAGTTATAGATTCTGCAAAACCAATCCAAAAGAGAAACCTCTGGGCAGTCATATAGCTTCCTCTCACATATTATTATATAGTCTGGGATATTAAAATAAGGTAAATAAAGGGGAAAGTTGGTTCAAATCTCACCTCAGTTGTTATAATTTCTAGGAAGCCTAAGATACAGAGTAATGGGTTCCTTAGCTGAAGATTTCACATGTTCAGTTCCATACATCAATTTTCTGAACTGGATATGCATGCAGGGGTTAATTTCTCAAGTGCTGCAGATGAACTACAATTCATATTGCTAGAGATGATGAGTATTATAAGTAATCAGTTGGAGAGTCTCAGGTTGCCTGCTAAGGTGCCAGAGACCCAATATGGGAAATCTTCTAGAAGTAAGAACTGAGAAAGAGACACAGCAGATCTGATATTTCAAACCAATCCATGGAGTACTTTTTACTCCATGTTCAGCAATGATGTTGTAAAAGGACTTGTCTGTGCTTTCTAAATCATTTTGCTGCCATCTTGTGGTTTGGTTCAATATAACATTAATCCCCTCCCACCTTTTCTTTTGAGACAGAGACCAAAACATTTTTTTTTACTTTTTTTATTTTTTATTTATTTATTTATTTTGTTTGTTTGTTTGTTTGTCAAGCATATATGAGAAAACAAGTATAAGTATGAACATAACATATAAACATATAAGTACCGTGTTTCTCCAACAATATGGCCTCCACCAATAGGAAGGCCCAGCATGATTTCTAGGCATGAGGTGAAATTAAGCCCTGCCCCCAAAATTTAGGCCTATTTAAACCATGTGTTTCCCCGCCATTTCTCACATCATTCGTTAGAACTACATGAGGTGAAAAGAAATGGGGGGGAAGGGCAGGGGGATGGGGAGAAAACTTGCCTTTAGGAGTGCCCTGCAGGTAGCCTAGGCTAGAATACCCCAATAGCCGATAGAAGCTTCCTGAAGGCAGAGTCCCCAGCCGCTTCAGGGCATGGCGTGGCTACCTGTGTCCCTTGCCTTTAGGCAGTCTCTTTTGGGCAATGGAAGCTCCCCAAATGCAGTCACCAGCCACTTCGATCAGCCGATAGAAACGGCCTCGCGGTGAGGGGAGTGTGTGTGTGTGTGTTTGCCCCATGGCCTCTTCTACTGGCCAATCGAAGTGGCTGGTGACTGCATTTGGAGAGCTTCCAGCACCTGAAAGAGACTGCCTAAGGGCGAGGGGACACGGGCAGCCACGCCATCACTGTCAGAAAGTTTCTCCTTATTTCCAGGTTAAACTTCTCCTTGTTCAGTTTCCATCCATCTTTCCTTGTCTGGCCTACAGGTGCTTGAGAAAATGGCTCGATCCCTTCCTCTCTGTGGCAGCCCCTCAAATATGGGAAGACTGCTATCATGTCTCTCCTAGTCCTTCTCTTTACTAGACTAGCCATGCCCAGTTCCTGTAACCATTCTTCATATGTTTTAGTCTCCAGTCAATCATCCTGGTTGCTCTTCTCTGTACTTTTTCTAGAGTCTCAACATCTTTTTTATAATGTGGTGACTAAAATTGGACGCAGTAATTTAGGTGTGGTAGAGTTGTAGTGGGGAAGACTACAACTCTAGTGGAGGAGGGAATTTTGTCTATGGTAACTTGAGCTCCTAGAGGACAATTACGGGATTAATCTTATATGAATGTGTGAATAATGCACTAATAACTTCAGCAGAATAACTACTACAAATGACAGAGAAATGGGGAAAATACAGTGTTAAAAATATGTCCATTTTGTGATTCTGAACTAGGGCTCAAGAAATGGCCAAGGACACTCAACAATAAACCTATTTTTAACATTTAGTATCTTTTTTAAAAAAACAGGCCCTTAATAAGGCTCTGAAAATTCAACAGGTAGGAAACATGTCTTTCACTCATCAAACAGCCACATTGGCTACTCCAATATGTAGGTGTCCATAGCCACTTCACTTTTCCCCCAGCAAAGAACTCTTTTGAATTGCCCTAATTTTTAACAGGTTGAATGGATTGAACTTTAATAATTGAACAGAAGTTGATGTTATTACTGTATGCTATGGAAATGCTTCATAAAGCACAAAGTGATGGCACAAAGAACAAGAAAAAGTGACGCTGCAGATGATTATGCAAGGAATTCAAAATATACAAATAAGAACAGAGAATATTGAAAAGAGAACAGAGGACATTGAACAGAGAACAGGAAAAACTGATGAAAAGGTGGAGAACATTCAACAAATGATGGTGAAGTATGATGAGAGATTCCAAAAAATTGAAGAAGAAGATAAACAACGAGATAAGAAGATTGGAGATATTGATAGCAAATTAACTGTGGTTGAACAAGATAAAAGTGGGATGTTGAGATGGGAGATGGACAGATCAGAATTTTATCTCAGATTCCAAAACACAGAGGAAGAAAAGGGACAAAATCTAGCTGAGATAATGATAGAAATTTTGGCTGAAGCTCTGGAAATAACTAAAGAGAAGATGATGGATGGAATAGATGAGGTATATTGAGTCTTCACATGCAATTAGAAATAGCTTACCAAGAGAAGTTCACATCGGATTTACAAAGAAAGCCATTAAAATGCAAATGTTGCAAGTGGCAAGAGAGAAAACATTGAAATATAAAGACAAGGAGGTTGTGGTCTTGAAACAATTACCCAGAAGAGTGAGAGAGATGAGAAGAGAATACCGATTTCTGACTAAAACTATACTTTAAAAAGAGGTGAATTATAGATGGCTGATTCCAGAAAGTTTAATGTGCACATGGCAAGAACAGAGACATAGAATTGACTCAATTGAGAAAGTTGAATTATTTTATACAGAATATTTTGGAGGGAAAGAGGAGGAGGCAGAAAAAGAAATGTCACTAATTGAATTCTAAGAGGACTGCCAAATAGCGACTGAAAAAGAATAAGGTGCAGTAGGTGGAAAGGTAGAAGCCAAAGAACAATGTGAACTAAGATCTACAAGAGCTGCTAAACCTAACTACAAAATATAACCTTGGAAGAGAAAAAACTAATTACAATTAACATAAATGGACTTAACTCAGCTGTTAAAAGAAGGAAAACTTTCCATAAATTAGAGAAATTAAAATTTGATATAATATGCCTACAAGAAGTACATATTAAAAAGCAACATGAACAATTGCTGATGCAGCCAAAATTAGGGAAAATATTTACTTCTTTGACACAATGCAAGAAAAGAGGAGTGGTTTTATACATTAAAGATATTATCCCAGCGAAATGGATCTATACTGATGACGATGGAAGATTACTAATGGTGGAAATAATGGACAATAATATGAAAACACTCCTGATTGCAATCTATGTCCCGAATGACAATCAAGAAGAATTTTATAGAAAGTTACATATGAAAATAATTGAACTGGACTATGCTAATATAGTTATGATGGGAGATTTTAATGGAATTGTAGATAATAAACTGGACTATACAGCACAGAAAACAACAAAGCAAAACAGAAAGACTCTCCCTAAATCTTTTTTTAAAATGATAGATGAAATAAAGGACAAAAGGAAGAACTGGCAGATCTATCGAAAATTCAGGTCACAAATAAGATCAAGTACTTGGGGATACATTTGACAGCAAGATGTAGTACACTAAAAGAATAATTATATCAAACTTAAGCAGCAGATAGCACTAGATTTGGCGAAATGGGAAAATTTACAACTGTCATTAATAGGGAGAATATCAGCAATCAAGATGAATACACTACCCAGAATTTTATATTTGTTCCAAACAATTCCAGTTAGGCTTGGAAAAGATTACTTTGAAGATTTAAATAAAATTGTGTTGAAATATATATGGCAAGGTAAGAAAGCGAGAATAAAGTTAAAACTTTTGCAAGATGCCACAATAAGAGGAGGATTTGGTTTGCCTAATTGGGAGTTGCATTACCAAGCTACAAATTTGATGTGGGTTAAGGAATGGATAACATTAAGAAATACTAGATTGTTGACATTAGAAGGACATGATCTGTTGTTGGGATGGCATGCTTTTCTATGGTATAAAGGAACTAAAACACAGAGATATTTTAGAAGACATTATATATGGGAGTCTCTGTGGTTAAACTGGGAGAAGACTAAAAGGCAATGTTATTTGAAAATTCCAGTCTGGTTATCGACTATTGAAGCATTTTCTTATCCTATAATATATAAAAAGGAACAAACAGTTAGATATGGTGAAATATTGAATGAAAAAGGTGAACCTATGCAAAAATTAGAGGAACAAGGTATAAAGATGAATTGGTTTTCATATGCACATTCAAGGTATGACAAAGATTCTAAGACAGAAGGTTTCTATGATAAACTGACTGACTTAGATAAGATTTTGACAGGTACTGATGAAAAGGTGATTTTAAAAATTGTATGGATATTTATTAGAAATTAAACTAGAAGAAGAACAAGTTAAAGAACTATGATTGCTTGGGGGAAGAATTTTGGATATGAGATTGATCTAGAGAAATGGCAAAAATTGTGGTCTCAAAATTATAAAATGACAATGTCAACAGCATATAAGGAAAAATGCAGTAAACTTCTGATGTGGACTTTATTTATGCCAAATAAGTTAATTATTTCAGTATATGTTTAGCATCATGTTATAACTTTGTTCTGATCTTCTTTGAATTTTCTGGATCCAAAGCCTGAATTCATCTATGCACCTTTGATTCCTTGGACCGGTATAAAAGGTAAAATCAGTTATAAGTATTTTTTCTATTTCCCCCTTTGTTTTCAAACAGTTCAACTGATAATTTAACTGTTATTATGTTGTTTGTTTTAGTGTAGCTTTCCAATGTTAATTTGATCTTTTCCAGTCTTCCGCAGACTGGTTGTATATAATAGGACCAGAATCTGGAACTATATTCAGAACTGCACCTGAAAGTTACTAAACTGCGGAGGCTTAATTTAACTTACAAGGATTTTAATTTGAGCACAAGAGTCTGATCATCATGCCTACACTTTAATGAACAAAATGGTGTATTAAGGAAGGTCACCCGATGGCTTCTGTGCCTAATGGAAGACTAGTCATACCTTCTCAGCCCAAATCAGTATCAGACTCTTCAAACACCTTTTCATGTTATGTAATGATAGCTTTGTGATAAGAATTGCAGTGAGGATAATACAAAACAAGCTGACCCTGCAAGTGGGACAACACTAGGAAGAAAACAACAGAGTATAGAATAACAGAAGGAAGGAAGGAACCTTGGAGGTCTTCTAGTCCAATCCCTGCTGAAATGGGAAACCCTTTTTCAGACAAATGGTTGTCCCACCTCCTCTTAAAAAATTCTCCAGTGTTGGAGCATTCACAACTTCTGGAAGCAAGTCGTTCCACTGATTAATAGTTCTAATTGTGAGGAAAAAAAGTTCTTAGTTCTATGCTGTTTCTCTCCTTGATTAGTCACCATCCATTGCCTTCGGGTGCTTTGGAGAATAGGTTGACTCCCTCTTCTTTGTGACAGCCTCTTAGATATTGGAACACTGCCATCATGTCATCCCCAGTCCTTCTTTTCATTAAACTAGACATACCAATTCCTGCAACCATTCATCATATGTTTTAGCCTCCAGTCCCTTAATCATTTTTGCTGCGCTTCTCTGCACTCTTTTTAGAGTCTCAACATCTTTTTTATATTACGGCAATCAAAACTGGATTCAGGATTCCAAGTGTGGTCTTACCGAAGCATTATAAAGTGGTATTAACACTTCACGTGATCTTGATCCTATCCTTCTGTTAATGCAGCCTAGGATTTTGTTGGCTTTTTGGAGCTGCAGCACACTGCTGCCTCATATTTATATATACAGAGGGAAGAAGAGATAATTTTTTAAAAAATCACTTTCCTCTTTAATTAGCATAAAGCGCTGTGGATGAAAGTCAACCCAGGTAATTTTAAAACCAACTATACGTTCGTATGGCTATGAAATTTTCCATGGAGTAAGTATTCTTAATATAATCTGCTGCACAGAAGTAAAAGATAGGCTCATACTGCATGGGCTTAGTGTCTTTATGAATTGTCTTGAATAAAAGCAGTTTCTTCCATTCAAAAGCTTCACTATCTGATTTCCCTAACAGTCAAAGAATGGATGAAAAGCTACAGGGAGATGAAAAGGTAAATTTTACCTACATTTCAGATGAATAAGCAAAAGAGAGATAAAAGAAATGTCAAGAATTCTAAGACAACTTGAAATGACATGCAACAGCCCTTGAGCTCTGTGCTTGAAATATGACCATCACTGTGTCAAACAGATATATCAAAAGAAGCAATTCTGGTCGATGCAGGCCCATTTAAAAAACCCTGCTGTCATTTCTGATGAGATTTGTTTTATGGGATTTTGAAAAATGGGCCTGATGTTGCAGGTACATTGACCCTGTCTTGGTGCTTTCAAACGTCTCAAGCATGGGATAAACTGCCTATCTAATTCTGAGTGCATATAATCTCTTAGCTCAGTCAGAGCAGTTGAAATCATCATCATCATCATCACCACCACTACCATTTAATTCTTTTTCTTTTTGTACCTCTAGGAAAAGGACTGCTTATCTTAGGTGGCACAAAATGGCGTCAGCACACACAGGGTTACTAACACCAGCTTTTCACTATAATATTTTGAAGCCCTATGTGGCAGTAATTACAGATTCCACCAAAGTTATGCTTGTAAGGAAGGTTGGCTTTTTTTCAGGTTATACAAGCAGGTGCAAAAGGGACCATTGTAAACTGAGCAGGACCATTTCTAGTTATCCTTACCTCTTGAATAGTAAAACATCAAAATTTCCAGAGCTGTAGTGTATAGGTAGTCCTTGACTTACAACAGTTTCTTTAGAGACATGAAATGTGCATTCAGTCAAAAGAGCAATTGCCAAACTGACAGGTTAAAACTTTTATACTAATACATTCTAATAACATGAGTATTGATCATATTTGTATAGCACATATATATTTTTTGTAAAAAAAAAAGTTTTTTTTCCTTCCATCAGAGACCTGGATTATTATGTCCAAGCTGTGTCAGACTTAACTTTCCTGTCGTTTCGGAGAGTTGTCTCTACTATACTTCGCAGTGATTTCCTATATTCATTTACCCCATCAGGACAGCGTTTTAAACAGGCTTGTGAATTGGCACACCACCATACAGGTAACTTTCATGTTCTTTGGTAAAATTAAATCAAAATTACTATAAGAGTATCTTGGGTTACCAGGATAGCTGAAGATGGAGGTGGTGTGGCTGTAGCCTGAGGTCATCCTTGGTGGGCTGTTTCACTAATCGGAAGCCAAAATGTTGAAACCGCTTGGAGTAAAACTCTTTCCTCGAATGCTGTTATATAAGAGCTATTACATAACAAGTAGAAAGGTTTTCAAAACATTGTTTTATTTGTTAGCAAAGCACTTCAATCTTCACTCAAAAGTTAATGACCTGTATAGATTACTGTACAATGCTTAAAACTGCATATTTTAATTTTTCACTGATTTCACAGCATTATCCTTCGCATGCCGTCTTAGAAGCAAGTCCCATAGACTTCAATGAGGCTTATTATAATATAAGCAATGCTTTCTGATTCTTCTAATTGTGGGGATAAGCCTCATTAGGGCCTTGAGATATGTCAGTGAAGTCCTTGACCTGCCAACACACAACAACTTTTATTCATCACTAGTAAAAATTGACTAGCATCAGAAAGCCGCTGTTTAATTTACTTGGAGCCTAATAAGGGATTTCAGTATATACTGATTTTATTCTGAATAGTTCTTAGCTTGTATATTGCAAATTTTATTTGTAATAAAAGAAACCAAATTAATCTCTCAGAGCCCTTTTTTCTGAAGTCAAGGGATAAAATAATAAAATGAGGCAAACACAGTGAATTTCTCATTCCTGGCATTAACTCATCTTGTATTACTTCATAGAAAAAGTAATTGAAGAGAGAAAGAAATCAATACATAATGAAAGAGAGCTTGAAAAGATTGAAAAGAAGCGACATTTGGATTTTTTGGACATTCTTCTTTGTGCCAAAGTAAGAAACTATAGGAAGTTTTTAAAACAGCCTCTTGTCTCACACCATTATGAAAGTTATTACAATACAAAATGAAATATTGTTTTGGTACAACAGTAAGTAGAACAGCCAGGACATAAAATTGACGTGCTAATAAAAAACTGGTTAAATCGGAATAGGTATTATAATAAACTGAGAACAATTAATTTCAATCTTTGTCAGTGACTTATTTGCAATGCCTGTAAAAAAAGATGAGAAAATCAACAGTACTAGAGAAAAATAAAGCTAAAGCAACCTATATTTTAAATAGCTTGCAGTTTTTATATTCCGGATAGGAATTTTCTATATCAAATGATTGCTGACTCAAAGCATTTGTGCAAATAAATTGTGGAAGAAATGGGGCTGCCAGATCAGGGATTTGATGTTCTCCTTAAAAGTTGCAGAGAAGGGAAAATTTCATCAGAACTGTTACTGCAGCACTTAAGAGGAACAAAGTCTACATTGTACTTTTGTTTTTTTCTATTATTGGACAAAATGTTCAAGGCTATAAAGAAGAAATCTTCCCTGTTTTCCCTTTTATAACACTTTCCCATGCAGATGCAGTGGGAAAACAGAAATAATTCTCATTTCCTTTGATGAGGCAACACTGGAAATTTGCTAACCAGGGTAAAAAGCAAATGGTTATGGACTCATTTTCATATCCTGCTCATCTTGTCAGAAAATCATTTTATCCTCTTTAAAACCACCTGCCCTTGTGACAGTTGCCTTGGTCTTATTCCCAGCCTATTGGACAGAAAAGGTTTTCCTTCTACCAACACTTTTTCTATTCTATGGCACTTTTTTAGCCAGGGTGGGTTAAAGAGACTCTGAGGTATACCATTTTTTTTATTTTAAAAATCTTATTATCGTTTACAATTACAGAAAGGATAAGATAGAAGGTAGGGTAGTGAAATCCCACAATTCCTTGCAAAAGTAGCACTAAATGAATCAGAAGTATTTGTAGTATTATTCAGATAGGACAGGGAGAGAGAAAGCAAAATAAAGATAGCAGTTTGTGTCAACATGCATTTGGACAACTCAAAGACTAAAACAATATACATTAATTCAATCAAAAGGATCTTTTGATGTGTCTTTGTTGAAACCACGGAATAATAAATCCCAATAATATCTGTGCATCTGAATCTAATAATATCATTTTTTTTAAAAAAAAATGACACTTTTGTCTTTGATCTGATTTTATGATGACCTCGTATTTTATGTTTCCTTAAATGAATGCTCATTGAGGGTGGCCCTTGCTGATTCTTATTCTCTGTTTATTAGTCTGAAGATGGAACCGGATTATCGAATGAAGACCTCCGTGCTGAAGTGGACACTTTCATGTTTGCAGGCCATGACACAACAGCCACTGGCCTCTCTTGGCTACTCTATATAATGGCTAAGCACCCAGAACATCAGCAGAACATCAGCAGAGAAGAAGTCAACGAAATCTTGGGGGATCGGGAAGACATCCAGTGGTGAATACAATATTGTTTGCTTTAGATTTCTTTCATTGGTGACTTGATTTAAGCATACCACTGCACAATACCCATTTAGAAAATATTTTTAAGCAAACAAAAATCAGAAGGCTATCATAAGAATGAATTGGTGAGATGGGACATTTAATCCTTTTACTGATATCACCATATTCTGACTTTTTTTAATCAAGAGGAAGCAGAGGGAAGGACAACCACCAACAGGGTTCTCTATGTTATGTTTAGACCCATAGGATTGCCTATACTGCAGAGGTGCTATTCAGCCAGTTTGCACGGTAGCAAGAATTTGGTGTGGGTCGCCAAACTGGTAGCAACATCTAACTGGCCATGCCCCCAACCTGGTCGCCCAGTTTCCGCTCACTCACTTGCCCACCCACCCAATGCTCGCTGCCCCAGTTTAAAGGAGGACTGCTCCTCTGCCCATACCATGCATTTTCAAGCAGCCACTTGAAAACACATGACTGTGGGCGGAGCAGCGGTCCGTTTACCTGCAAAATTGTTCCAAGGCTGGATTCTTCATGGATACTAGAAGTATCGCTTCTTCTTGTGAGTAAAGTGTCTGGAGTGAGAGGGAAAGAACACTGGGGGGAATCCAGCCATGGGGAAGTTTGCAGGAGCTGCAAAAGCAAGTCTGTTTACCTGCAGAACTTCTCTAATGCTGGATTCACTTCCCCTTGTGAGTGAAGTGCCTGGAGTGAGAGGGAATGAAGGCTGACAGGGGTGTGTGTGTGTGAGAGAGAGAGAGAGAGAGAGAGAGAGAGAAGAAAGAAAGAAAGTAAGAAAGAAAGAGGAAGGGAGAGAAAGAAAGAGAAAGAAAGAAAGAAAGAAAGAAAGAAAGAAAGAAAGAAAGAAAGAAAGAAAGAGAAAGGGAGAGAAAGAAAGAGGAGGAAAGAGAAAGAAAGAAAGAAAGAAAGAAAGAAAGAAAGAAAGAAAGAAAGAAAGAAAGAAAGAGGAGGGAGAGAAAGAAAGAGAAAGAAAGAAAAAGAAATAGGGAGAGAAAGAGAGTGTGGTGTGTGTGAGAGAGAGAGAGAGAGAAAGAAAGGAAGGAAGAGAAAGACAGAAAGAGACAAAGAAAGAGAAAAAAAGAAAAAGAAATAGGAAGGGAGAGAGAGAGAAAACTCTGTGCTATTATTTTTAATTGTTCCATTATTTATCATGTACTAATATTTTACACTGTCCCTACACCTAATGTGATTCTACTGCCTTTCTTTTGCCCAGGGCTACCACATATTTTTCAGGGTTTACATGCATTCAATGTCTATAGTCCAAAGCATAAATACATGTGTGTTTAACAGAGTTGAAAGAGAGTTTGGAGGTCTTCTTGTCCAAGCCCCTGCTCAGGCTGGAAAACTGAGGAGGCAAACTCTGAGTAGAGGTCCTGGGAAAGATGTCAGAATAACACTTAGAAGGGACTTTTGGGGGAACCCTATACCATTTCAGAGAAATGGCTGTCCAGTCTTTTAAAAATTTCCAGTGATTGATCACCCAGGACTTCTGGAGACAAGCAGGTCCACTGGTTAATTGTTCTCACTGTCAGAAAGTTTCTCCTTAGTTTTAGGTTGCTCCTCTCTTTGTTCAGTTTCCATCCATTGCTTCTTGTTTGCCTCCTGGTGCTTTGGAAAAATACATTCCACTCCCTTTCTTTGTGGCAGCCCCTTAATATCCTGTTGCCTATATCATACTCTTGAGTAAAGCATGTGAGCCATTTCCTCCTTTCAGTGGTCCATGAAAGTACATCTATAGTATGCAGATAATAAAGTCAAAAAAGGTGAACAACATTTTTACAGAAGTATAGATAAGTTGATGCTGGATGACAAGGAATGGCTGGGAGGGGAGGGGCCAGGTGAGACACCCCTTGATGTGAGTGACATTGAGTTGGCCACACCCACCCAGTCACATGACCACCAAGCCGTGCCCACCCAGTCACAAGCCACGCCCACCAAATAAGCCACGCCCACAGAACCAGTAGTAAAAAAAATTGAATTCCACCACTGCTATAGTGTAGTATCACTGTCAGTCAGTGCAATCGTTATCTAAGGAAATGTGCTACAACAGGCACTATTAATTCCATTCCATTATGCAGGGTTAGGATTAGGAAGGATCCTGCTACCTCTTGCTGTCTGTGTACTGCAAAACTTCTTCTGCACCCTATTTCTTTAAACTTACAGGCGGAAGAACAGCCAGAGGAGGGGATTGTGAAGAGGAAAATTGCCCATCTACTTGTTTAACCTCAATTAAAAATCCCAATCCTACTTTTTTCAATGAAAAAAATAACTAACCTAAAGACTATTAGTAGCTTAGAGTTCAGGGACCATTGTTCTTGAAAGAAAATAAAAGGCTTGGTACATATAGTTCTGTCTTAAATGTTAAGCAGCAGGTCAATTCTCATACTGATTTTATACACCGAATCATTTATATCTAATCTTATAAGATTTATAGAAAAGATGAAAACAATTGGATACTGTACGATACCTGGACACAAAACATAACACAATGATAATTATGTGGTTATGATTCAAAGAGAATATATTTCAGACAAACGTATTAAATTAGACATTTTAAATTTAAAACATTCAGAAGTTCAAACATTGCATTGTACCTTTTCCTCTTCCTTACAGTTCAATGAATTTGGTGGGTGTCGGATCCTCTTCTAAATATTATCTGGACATCCTGCACTTAAAACAAAATACTTTAGCCCCTTTTCCCTGGGCAACAACATTTGCATACTTCCATCAAGGTCATCTTCCTTATTTTCTGCAGTGAGACTGGTCCATCTTCCATTCTCCCAAGGAAGGACAGAATCCTCTAGCTTGATGTTATTCTTCTAAGAAGTGGCCTTATAAAAATTAATTTGACCTTTTATTTTCCAGAAAGTCAGGTTGGGTTGTGTAAGTCTTATTTTTCTCTCACTGGATCAGACTAGATGCCCTGGGAAGATAGGTGATGATAGCAGGAATGACCAGGAGGTAAAGGTGGTGGGGTGAGCACTCAGACGGATTCTGGGGAAACTGGTTTGAAACGTTGATCTTCTGCCTTATGACCTTAGCCACCCAAAGCTAAATGGCTTTGCCCATTACTGAGTTGAAGCACTATATACCCATCCTTGAATCAGCAGAAAACTGCTAGAATGGAAAGGATTCAGCTCCAGGGGCCTAGAGGTGGAGCTCTCGCCTCACAATCAGGAGGCTGTGAGTTCGATCCGAGGTAGAGGCTAATGTTTGGAATAGACTCTCCTGCTCGAGCAGCGGGTTAGACTAGATGACCTCCAAGGTACCTTCCAACTCTGTTAATCTATGAAAGCACTATCTCCATTGTCAATTCCTGCTTCCACTCCTTGCAGTTACCTACCAGAAGACAAAACCTAGTACCTTTTGTGCACCTTGAAGCTTCCCTTGGATTGTGTAGAATGGCGGGGGAGGGAGGGATACTATTTTACATCATTGCAGTTAAGAATAACTTAAGCTTGTCTCATTCATGCCCTGGGGATGAGATGAAGGCAATTTCACAGGTGGAATTAAAAAGGTGATACCACACACATTGGAGCCAATGTTAAGTGTAAGTAAATAATAAAATTGCTTGATTTAGTTCTAGCCGATACCCTCCTCTGGCACCTAGCCTTTCACTAATTTCACTAGCATTTCACTAATAGCATTTCACCAATAGAAAGGTTAATTGATTTTCTTTATAACTTTCAGGGATGATCTTGGTACGATGACCTATTCCACCATGTCCATAAAAGGGAGTCTCCGTGTATACTCCCCAGTTCCAACGGTGTCCCGAAAGCTCAGCAAACCTATTGCTTTCGTTGACGGACGCCCTTTGCCTGAAGGTTTGCAATTTCTTTATTAAGAACAAAATGTTACTTTCATTCCATTTTGTGCTGCTCCATGTTGGATAACGTCTAAGCTTTGAATTTAAATACAGCTGGAAAAGGGTAAAATCACAGTAATGACGATAAAATGTTTGACACACTCTGATTTGGGTGAAACCCTCCATTCCAATCATCCCCTTTGCTTTCTAGGAGATACAGTTAAGGCATTTTAATTCATTTATACTGTATACTGTAGTACAATGCAAAGCAGCCGTTAATATTTAGAATATTAATATTCTAATACTAATATTCTAATACTAATACTTAGAATTTAGAATTCACTTGAGTTTAATCTTTGGGGAGGAAAAAGTGCAAAGAAGAGCAACTAAGAGGATTAAAGGCCTGGAGACAAACACATATGAAGAACGGTTGCAGGGTTTGGGTTTGGCTAGTCTAGGGGGACATGATAGCAGTATTCCAGTATTTGAGAGGGTGCCACAAATAGGAGGGGAGTCAACTTATTTTTCAAAACACCAGAGGGCAGGACAAGAAACAATGGAAACAATGGAACTGGAGGAGAGAAGCAACTTGGAATTAAATATAAACCTCCTAACAGTGAGAACAATTAACCAGTGAAACAACTTGCCATCAGAAGTTGCGGGTGCTTCATCACTGGAGGTTTTTAAGAAAAGACTGGACAGTCACATGCCTGAAATGGTATAGGATCTCCTGGCTGAGCAGGAGGTTGGACTAGAAGACCTCAAAGGTCCCTTTCAGTTCTATTCTGATTGCCTATTTAAACCTCACCAAAATACTCCAAAATTGCACCAAGATTTCTGAAATTATATACATTAAACATTGCATTATGTCTATAAAATTATACTCTATCTAAAAGTACATCTCTCTAAAAAGTTACTCTAGTTAGAGTAAGCAATTGCCATTATAACAGAATTATTAAACACTAATGTCAACCATCTGAATTAATTGAAATTGTAGGATCTTTTTCCAAGAACTTAAGTCAATTGTTCAGGCAATTTACTAATTGGAAGCTTGCAAAGCAAACTGCCAAGTCATGATGCATGCTACAGCTTTATAAATCATTATATTAGATTAGAATTCTTTATTGGCCAAGAGTGATTGGACACACAAGGAATTTGTCTTGATGCAAATGCTCTCAGTATACATAAAAGAAAAGATACATTCGTCAAGAGTCAAGAATCATAAGGTACAACACTTAATAATAGTCATAGGGTACAATAAGCAATCAAATCATACTAGGAAACAGTCAGTATAGATCGTAAGGATACAAGTGACAAAATGACAGTCATACAGTCACAAGTGGGAGGGGATGGGTGATAAGGAGTGATGAGAAGATTAACAGTAATAGTAGTGCAGACTTTGTAAATAGTTGGGTAGTGTTGAGGGAATTATTTGTTTAGTAGAGTGATAGCGTTCGGGGAAAAACTGTTCTTGTGTTTAGTTGTCCTGGTGTGCAGTGCTCTATAGCATCGTTTTGAGGGAAGGAGTTAAACAGTTTATGTCCAGGATGTGAGGGGTCTGTAAATATTTTCACAGCCCTATTTTTGACTCTTGCAGTATACAGGTCTTTGATGGAAGAGAGGTTGGTAGTAATTATTTTTTCTGCAGTCCAAATTATCCTCTGAAGTATGTGTCTGTCCTGTTGGGTTGCAGAACCAAACCAGACAGTTATAGAGGTGCAGATGATAGACTCAATAATTCCTCTGTAGAAATGTATCAACAGCTCCTTGGGCAGTATGAGCTTTCTGAGTTGGTGCAGAAAGAACATTCTTTGTTGTGCTTTTTTGATGAAGTTTTTGATGTTAGCTGTCCATTTTAGGTCATGTGATATAGTAGAACCTAGAAATTTGAAGGTCTCTACTGTTGATACTGTGTTGTCTACTATTGTAAGAGGTAGTAATATGGGAGGGTTTCTCCTAAGTCGACCTTTCTACAGTTTTGAGTGTGTTCAATTCCAGATTGTTCTGGTTACACCATGAGGCAAGTTGTACAACTGCCTGTCTGTATACATATCATAATAAATCTCTCCACTTCGCCCAAAACAATTCTCATTTTTAACTTTAATTCCTTGTAAATTCTTAAAAACTCAGCCTTCACTATTTGTCATATAAATGCATCACAGCCTAACTGTCATGGAGTTCCCCTATCTCAGAATTTGGCAACTCCAAATTTCAACTAACAAATGCTCTGTCCTACACACTGGCAATAAAAACCAGAATACCAAATACAAGTTAGGCGGAAACAATCTCATAGATCAAGGACCTAGGAGTACTTATCTCAAACAATCTAAGCCCCAGAGCTCACTGTAACAGCGTTGCCAAAAAGGCATTAAGAGTTGTTAACCTTATTTTGTGAAACTGCTTATCCTGTAACATTGAATTGCTAACTAGGGGATACAAAACCTTTGTCAGACCAATTCTTCAATACAGCTCGTCTGCCTGGAACCCACACTGTATATTGGACATTAACATGATTGAGCGGGTTCAGAAGTTTTCCTTGAGAAAAGTACTCCACTTCTCTACTCACAATAGAATTCCCTATGTCTCCAGACTTGAAATTTTGGGCTTGGACAATCTGGAACTCCTCCACCTGCAGTCCGATCTAAGCATAGTACACAAAATTGTCTGCTACAATGTCTTGCCTGTCAATGACTTCTTCAGCTTCAACCACAATAATACACAGGCAAACAATTGATACAACTCAAGGTAAACTGCTTCAAACTTGACTGCAGAAAATATGACTTCAGCAGCAGAGTGGTCAATGCCTGGAATGTCCTACCAGATTCTGTTGTTATAGCCTCAAACTCTCACAGCTTCAACCTCAAACTCTACTGTGGATGTGCTGGTTAAACACTATATACTTAGTTTGGGAATGAGAGCTGTCCCCTTAAGGGAATGCCTCATGGGAAATGTAGTTAATGCCTCATGGAAGATGTGGTTCATGTCATGTGGTGACATCTGTACTCCTGATTGGTCACTGAATTGACCTCTGGTTGGGTTGGAGGGAGTTTTATTCATTCTTACTTGGACCCCAGCAATGTGTTGGAGTCTTCCTTTGCTGTATTATTATGGGATGAAGATAACTATCTTTTCACACTATGAAGATGACAGTGCAAAGATTGGACATTAGATGAATCTCAGCATAACCGTGAGTTATACCTTGAGGATGCCTGGTATAATCCAATAAAGAAACTTTGTATGGAAGCTTTTGTAGTGTTTAGCTCTTTATCTCAGGTATTTTGGAAAGATAAATTGTACCTGAGACAAGATAGTGGACCTCACCTCATTCTTAAGAGGTCCTTAAAGGGGGCGTGCATAAGTGCACCAGTGTACCTACCATCCCTGTCTTACTGTTCCCATTTATCTGTATTTACTTCCTTTGTTCATGTTTATGTTCATACCTATACTATCTTGCACATGTTTGACAAACAAATAAAATACATAAAGGAAATAGAATGTAAAATGTTGCCTGGAAAACTCTACTACTAACTTACACCTTAATATTTCATATAATAATTGTCTAACAATGGCTTAATTGAAGTACCTAAACCTTTAATCTCAAATTGTTCCATGCCTATGATTTCCATATGCATTCAGAAGATGACTGCACTTCTTTTGTCCATTGCTGCTCCAAGTATACAGGACTGATTGACCAATTGAAAAGACGAGAGTTATTGGGCTTCACAATATTTTTTGTTTCTTTCTACAACTTTGTCTCTGCAAAAAGTATAGAATTTGAACATAAAAGAGCAATACAACAATGAAAGTAAGCATCTACTGTGCAGCAACAGGGAAAAATAAACTGAATATACAGTACATAATATAGGGCAGCTGCCAGATGTATAACATCTCTTATGCTTCACTGCCTATTAAACTGGATGCCAAGCTAGATAACAAGAACATAGTAGATCAGAGATCAGAGTTCTTACTGAGTTGTAGGCTGATATAAACCTCCCTCTCTCCACTCCCCCAGTCTCTTGTCTACTATTTCTCTCTAAAGAGCCAGAAGTGGAATTGTAATAACACCTGCTTGTGGTAGCTTGAAATGGCATGTCAGAGAAGTGGTGTAATCCTGAAATGATGTGAGCAACACCCACCCTGCTCAGTTCTTGGGGGAAATTGAAGCTGGTGTTTGTTACTGGTGGGCAAGGGGAGGAGGAGGAAGGTGCTGCTTTTGGAGCCAACTTCCACTGCAATTCCAATCTCTCCCTTTTTAATTCATCTGGGTTTTGCAGAACAATGCCCAACAGGAGGTACAGAACTGGAATAGGACAGATTGTAAAGAGGGTGAGAATGAAACCAGAGGATCTCTAGACATACACCATAAACAGATGGGAGAATATATTAGTGGCTTATCTAGGCAACAGCAGAAAACCTGGGAAGAAAAAATTCAAGAGACTCCATTTTAATGAGCTCACTAATACTAACAGAGATCTGGGAGTTTTTGTCACTGTTTTCAAGATGTATTTTTCTCTAATCCTTGTATTAAATCTCCTTCTTGAAATTTCGTTTCCTTGATTGTGCCCTTTTCTGTCTCCTACATAATGAAGTTTTGGGAGAGGAATTCAGGCAAGGTAGAAGATAAAATCTGATAAAGGCTGGTGGCTTCTGAGAATGGGATGACCAATCTAGATTTTAGGATTTTATCCAGAAGCCTCATTCCTCCAGATATGATTTCTGATATGGCACCATTTCTTTTATAAGAAGGTGTACAGGAAAGGAGGGGTGTAAAATGACTGTGAAGCCATGTACATCACCTTAGACATTGCTGATCAACACTTCCAGCTTGCCTTGGTTTAAGCAAGGATCACTAACCATCTGTGAAGGACAGGAATTCCTGGATATAATTTTTAATCTTCTCCTCATCCCACAAGGAAGGAAGCTTCCATGTGTCTTTTCTTGAACCAAAACATATACAGTATTTCCCAAGTCATGCTGCTTTAAGCTGTGCTGAGCAGTGACACTGTTTCATGGCGAAAGGGATTCAATTTTTTTAACAA